TTCGGGGGGGGGTCCTCTAAATCCCCCGCACCGGATGTAGCCGCCCCGCAACGGGGGGGGGGGGGGGGGGAAGGGTTTTATTATAAACTGTGGAGCACTACCCAGCACACTGACTAGCCAGGGTGGGAGCTGAGAGGAAGAGGCCACTCAGACCTTCACCCCGGGGGCCACTGACGGAAGGAACAGGGTCTTGGAGAGATCAGCCCCCTAAAACCCCCTCCTGGAGAAAGCAGGCTGGGCATGGCTGCCAGGCTGTCCTCACTGCTGGTGCAGAGGGTGTGGCCTTTGTGGCCACAGCCCTAGGCTTGGGACTCGGTGAGGGTGGGGCAGTCCCTGCAGGTCTTGGAAGGAACGCCGGGACTTCCAGGACTTCCGTGAAAGGTGCGGCTGGCAAGGTCGCTCTGGGCGGCCCGCCAAGCTGCGTCAGACCCCAGCCTCGCTCAGCTCTGCAGGCTCCCCTGCGCCCGCTCTGGGGTCCAAGGACAAGTTCAGGCCCAAGCTCATCTGTTGACTCACTGTGTGCCTGGGCGCGGAGAGTCTAGTAGTTATAGACGGAGCCACTGACCATCTGCTCTGCCTCCGTAAGCCTCACACCTGCACCCTCCACAACAGGGAGGAGCATGGCCCGGGGAAGTCCATTTTAGCAGATTCCCTCAAGGACAGTCCGGCTCCGGCGTGTTGCTGAAGGCCACTGTGACTCCATGACCCATCTCACCGCAGGGTGGCTTCCTTCCTTCCCTCGGCCGTCAGCGCTGGCAAGGCCATGAACTGACTGTCCAGGGGGTGGACACACAGGGCCAAGCCCATGCCCCAAAGGCCTGCCCCTCCATCACGCCAGGCAGCTCCACCTCCCAGGCTACAAACCCCCACCCCACCCCAACCTCCCCACCCAGGCCACGGCCCTCCCACCTGCAGACTCTCCTGCCCACAGACCAAAAACTGTCTCCAAAACAAATCTATGCTAATGAGCTGCTGCAGGGCTGGCCGCACATCTGCTCAGCAGAAGTCCTACTGCAGACCTCACCAGCACCCCTGCCCATTCTGCAGCCACCGACCCTAGGGGCTGGGGGTGGGGAGAAAGAGCCAGACTCGGTCTAAAACCTCACGTCAAAAGAATGAGGATATATCCGTGGCTAATGTAGACCACCTACTTCCCCCCTCCACCCCTCCAACAGGGCAGGCCCAGCAGAAAGAGGTCCAGCTTGCAGGGGCTGGGGGGGAGAGGGGCAAGGGTCGCCAAGGAAATGCTCCTCTCGTCTTTTCTTTGGCCCCAACTACAGGCAAACCACACCCAAGCAGTCCCAGCATCATGGTTTCCACAGTAACAAAGGGTGAGGGGCTCCAAATTGCTTCCCCACCGCCCTCCCCCACCAGCGCCCAGCCTTTGGCCTCCAGCCCTGACCTCTGTTTTCCTGGGGTTCCCGTAGTTACAGGCTGGTGTCCTCCAGCTGGGCGAGGGCCTCAGAAAGCCTGAAAATGTGCCCTTCTCCTCCGATGCCTGCCAAGCCCCCTTTACTGCGGCTTGTAAAAGATCAGAATCGCCCCGCCCAGGGAGCGGGGCGGGCAGGTGGCCGGCGGCACGGCCGGCCCCGTTGTCCAG